ACTTCTTGACAGCCTTAATAATTGATCTGCAAGTACATTTACAAAAATTTCTAAAAACCGAAAAGACAAGATACTAGGATCAACTTTTTTAAAGAAATATTTGTCCAAAAGCTGTTGACAAAGTTCTTGATCAAGCGGTGGTATTTTAGCATTATCATCGTATATAATATTTTCTTTATCGAGCTTGTTCCTATCATAAAGATCCAAATAACGGCAAACAATTTGAATTGGTTTTTTTATTTTTACGGGTACTATCAATCTATCAATATTCCACACTAAAGGTATGTTATTTAAACAACTAAGAAATGGAAGGGATTCAAGAAAATGATTACTAGCTACCTCAATAAAAATAAAGGTATCTAGAAGGCTCGTAATATCCGCGTTATTTAAAATAATTCCCAGAGTTAACAATTGAAATAGAAATATATTAACTTGTTCGGGATTATTAGCAGATATTATATTTATATGAAGACAATCATTTTCTTGTATATGAGAATTTTTAAGTTGTCTAATAAGTGAATTATAACTTGCTTCATCACTAATGAGAAAAGGAACCAAGTTTTTGCCACATTTAGAACTCTCCTGATTAATAAATAGTGTTTTTCCTTGTCCGGATAATGCTGAAGTTATGCATGTAACGTTTGGACATAATTCACGGTAAATCGCTTTCATTGCAACATCACCAAGCCCATCAGTCGCGTGAACATATTTCGAAAACTGATCCACAATATGATGATGCATATCAGTTTCAAAACAACAAATCAACGCTAAATAATAATCATCTACCTGTTCCGTAAAAAATTTAATCTTATTTGCGAGATAGTATTGTAATTCAAATTCCAATAATTCCAAATTCGCAATGCAGAATAAATGCCCTTCATAGCCATTTTTTGATGCGAAAAAGCACCTTTTGATAAATATTGTAAGTTCTTCTTCCGTAGTAGAGGACATACATATCAGAAGTTGCCAAGATTCAGGATAAAAACCATGATTGACATTAAGTTCCATTATTATATTAGGAATTTTCGATTTATCATTACAAGTTGCGACAAACAATTCTCCACATTTCACAGTTTCCGATATTACGTTTCCTTCGAAGTTATTCACTGGCCGTGCATATTTTTGAAGGATTCCAAATATGCAACCTAATTTATGATTAATAGATTCTAAAGCTCGTTCGTATTTATCCTTTACATAATTAAATCTTCGATTATTTAGTTGAGGTAATTTGGCATTTCGATTGACGAATGTTATAAGTGTTTGACAAGTTTCTTTTATTTCATCTATCTCGTCATTCTCCGCGTAATAGTCGTAAAATGTCAATATGTGCCTTGCCGGATAAAAAGTTAGATAATAACAATTTTCTTGTGATCGGTTAACCATATTCTCCCTACAAAATAAAATGATTTTAATAATATCAAAATTTAAAACGAGAAAAATCTCAAATAAAATTAAAATAATTACCAACTGTCCAAGTCCTTTCTCAAACGAATTGCGATTTTCTCCAAATTGTATGTACCTTTAGCTGATTCGTTATATTTTCGATACCCAAAATGACCTAATTGAGTTAATTTTTTCATTATTGTAATTATTCTTTGAGCGATGTCAAATTGTGCTATAAATTCCTCCATTTTGACTTTAACGTTAATATTATCGATATTGTCACAACCAATTGAAACACCAGGCTTTGAAATTAAAAGGGCTCTGCTGCGTAAATCTTGTAACTCATTAATTTTAAACTTCATGGTTTCTGATTCAGAGGGATATGACAATACCAGTATGCAATCATCATCTTTTTTGTCTTTCATAAATTTATATGTACCATGAACTGCAGCATTTTGAATCTTTTGTTTTGTGACGTAAGCCTTGTTATAGACGGATTCATACATATTTTTTAAAGCCATGACATTACAGTTACATAATGATAATTTACTTGCTAACGAAGGGTCAATATCATTGAATACTCCTATTAATGTATCCATAGTTAAATTGTGATCATTATTCATAACCGGTTGCAAAAACTGCTTGACTTGAAATAGTGAAATAATTGTGCCCTCGTGAATCAATCTTGTATCCGAGTGCTCATCGACACTATTAATCAAATTTATCAAATCCTCCTCTGTTTTTCCATCTAAGAACTTAATTAATTCTTCAGATCGTGACAACTCTTTGATGAATTCCCAACTATTATTATTGAATTTAGAAAACTTTTGATTTATAGTTTTAACGTTGTTGAAAAATGTACCCAAATTTCCTTGATCAAACGAGTTGTCAAGCCAGTTTTCTTTGACTTTAAAAATCTCAGCAATCTTGGATAAATTCCCGGTGTGTTGTTTCCATATCTTATTTCTGGATAGATGACCTATTGTCACCATGAATGGTGTGCTTTGAAAAATATCGACATATGTTTCCATTAATTTAATCTCATCATCGAAATTAGAAACATCGGACCAAAATGGAATTTCTACCGAACATTTGAGACTTTCCCAATTTTCATACTGCTTGCACCTGGCAGCATATTCATCTAAAACAACTTTCATTAATGTTTGTGCTATAAATTCAACACTTATCTTTTCTTCTCCATCTGACACTTCATTTAAACATTTTTCAAAAACATTATAAAATGTTTGTGATTTGTTAAATTTATTTGTACTCTCTGCTATCGATATAATTCCTTTATGGAAATTCCAATGGGCTTCTGATAAGGATTCATCTAGTGAGATGTTATTCTTACTTCGTTCACTTAATTCATCAAGATAATTTAGTACATCTTTAGTTTTTTGTAGCGGACAGAATCTTTTATAAAAATCTCCAAGTTTTTGCATCCTTTGTTCATAAAATTGACAATTCAGACGAACGTTAACCAAAATATCCTTGTTAATTACTTCTTCATTAAAATTTGAAGAATTTAGATAAACATGAAGGAAATCATCATCAAGAGTAAGCAAAAGCTGGAGATGATGTACATTAATCGTCCTATTTCTAATCGTATTAGCCAACTCGAGAATGTTGGCTCTATTATTTTGCACAAGTTGATGAGAAAGAAACATTTTGGTACTGCCAGTTGCTCGTAGAATCACTTTCCAAAATTCAGCGCACTCGCGCAAATAAATATCTGAAAATATTTTTGAATTAATTTTCAAACGTGACATGATGTATAATAGAGTTTTTTCACAAAATCTACAAAAACAAAAAAAAAAAATAAAATTTAATTAATAAATATAAATAATAAAAGAACATAATATTTAATTAATCACTGACATGTTTGGAATATTTAAACTATCACCATTAGAACCACAAATAACTTGCATTTTATTAAATAAAGGTTTAACTCGATCAAATTCCATTGAATCGATTCTTTTTTCGATAGCTTTTGTAAGTACATGTACCGCTTCTGAACCAAAAATTTCAATTTTAGTTGTGAGTGAGAAAAATGATGTCTCTGAAGACCCTTTAATATGATTGAACGCTATTTCCTTTAATTCATCCAATGTCGATTGATCGTTCACTAGTGAACATATGTTTGATAAATTCTCTAAAACTGCGGATACGTATTCTTCCTTATGAGCCGTTGACATTATATCCATAAGCTTTTTATACCATTTAATACACATTTGTGCTATTTTATAATCAATATCATTATACATTTCTTTCCAATTTTTAAGCAATGATGGAAATGCGCCCAATAGTTGATAATTATTTAAGGTTGATACTATCTCAAAAACACCAATGTATTCGTCTTTTGTCCAATTTAGATGTCCAGAATTTAAAAGGTTATAAATCGATTTTGATTCAGGTTCATTCAAAATGGCACGACGATCTTTGGTTAATAAATCCAACACTCTTTTCCTAAGTAGGTCGGAAACTCTATCTCTAATGTCATAAGGAATTTGGATAAAATTCTTATATAAATTAGCAGGATCATCTTTAGATAAAATTTTATTAATATCATCTACCAAAAGCTGTCGTAATTGCTTGTCACTGTTATTAGAGAATCGCCAAACTATTGAAAAGTTTTTTACGTTTTTACATTGACTCATCAACCACTACATTGAAAAAAGGAATTAATTGATACAATTGACCAATAATAAAAAATCAGAAAAGTCGTGATTGTTATTATATACCTTGATAATTTTCACATGGTCATTTTCATCAAATTTGATTTTTAGAATATATTTAAAACAATATTCGATATATTTTTCATTCTCGCAATTAGAAAAAGATATTGTGTCGATGAATTCATATTGAGGATCGAAATTTTGTGCAATGGTAAAGATTTTGAGCCATTCAAAGATTCCATAACGAATATTGTGATGGATTAAAAGATCAACCCCATTTAATACAACATGCCAATTATCGCTTGGAAATGTGTATTGATGAACCTTGAAGAAAGCTCGTAGCAAGGGAACAGTTTGAAATTCTCTTGGTAATTCAAATCTTTCGGAATTATTAGCGATATGTCCTAAAAGGAAGCATAAAAAATGAAGTCTGCCAGTAGATTTATCTGATACACGATCGCTAATAAATTGAAGATCCGTTACGGATAAAGTATAGCCGTGATGCTGTTTAAGGATACTCTCATAATCTTGAATCATCCCGTTGATGTTTTCGGATTCAAAAATGACATTTAAGAACATATAATCATTAATTTCATTTATACAATAAGCTGAATTGTTTTTCCAAATATCGAATTGTTGATGTTTCATATCTAGCACACGATTGTCATTTGGACCAGATCCTTCGTATTCCAAGGATAGGTTGTTGTTTGAACACACAGCATACTTATATTGAACAGTATCTCGAAATCTAACGTTCGGGATATGAAGAGGATCTGAATACCAATAAGATGTATGATTTCGAATGTCTTTATTATATTGCTTAAGTTTGACCTTAGGTTCTTTCCAATTTCCAAGTTCCTCAATATTACCAACGATAACAGGGTCTCCGGAATTAACCTTAGGCAAATGCACACGAAATATGATTTTTGCGTAGCCAGATACAAAATAATTCCAACTTGTGGCGACAATAGTATAGCCAATCTTATAGGGAATCTTATAAGTATCAGATAACTTCGTTATGCTCTTTAATTTAGAAAAAGAATAAAAGGAAGATGAATGATTTTCATTATTATGTGGCGTAGAAGCAACTTGATTTCTTGTATTTTCCACATCATCACTATCTTCATTAATAGTGTAAGAGTTTATGTCAATTTTATTTTTTCCTTTTTCCATTGTACAAAGTTAATCATAGGGTAAATGATAACCTCGCGGAAAAGTCGAGTGAGATTTTGCTGGATGCATTTTTATACATTTCATATTCTTATCGATTTACGTATTTGACTTGCAAAAAAAAGTAAGATAACATTTACTACGTAAAAAGTACAAAAAGATTACTTGATAAGTAGGCACATATTAGGATAAATCGATTTGGTGATGTCAATAATGATCTTACATGATGTAAATTCTGATCAATTTATTACGAAAGAAACAAAAGGTCATTTGCATAAATAGTTTATTACCTTATAATTTATCATCAGAATAACATAAGGAATGGTAAAAGTAGAAAACAATTAGTCATTGATTTGGAAGTGAAAGTATTTGATAAAAGTAGACAATATTCGAAATAATAACATTGTGATGAACTCTGTTTATTTTGATTATTTAATATGTAATAATATTTTGACATCAAAATGATGTCGTTCATTGCTAAATGTTTGTTTACTAATAAACCGATCGGTCCGATTAAATTTAACTCAGGCCGGCACTACAAATTTAGCCAGGAACTATAAACAAATTAATCTTAATTCTGGATTGTCGGCCCGAATTAAAATATCAACCGGATTTATCATATCCGGATACGAAATATTAAAATAAAGCCTTTTTTAAAAAAAAAATTAAGAACTTACAAAAAAAAAAATAGTTTTTTCTCCAAATATCTTTTTACATTGTCATAAATGGATAATCTCTACAAATATAAATAAATCTTTTGTTTTTCTCATTTATAAAATAAAAACGTCGCATGATTTTCTTGTTTTGACTAATATATGACCGATATATGAAAGTTGATTCCTTCATCGAATTATAAAGAATATTAATATTATTTTTAATTTAAATTATGATTCTTTGAAAATTTAATTATTGTGACGCTAAAAAATACCAAAAATTAAAGTTTGGTTTTTTGATGATTTTGTTTTGATACTTCATGCTGATACTCCTCTCTTTAATTGCGTTTGAATTTGGACTAAAATTATTTTGTTTTTGGTTTTAACCTTTACTTTATTTAAAAATTTGGTATTTATTTTATCAATTAAGAAAATTTATTACAATATATATATATATATATCTCCATTACAATACGGGAATTGAAATTTTAATAATATCGATTTACTTATTAAATTGAAAGGAAAGGAATTAAATTAATCGTATTCGGGTTAACCCTTTTCAACATAAACGGATACAAACCTGGAATTACCTGTTTTTACCCATTTGTTTTCTATGACCCGGATACTTATAATTAGTAATGTATCCGAGAAAATTACTTTTAGCCTTAAGAATGCATGCAGCAAAACATGGCAATATAATATTTATATGTTTTTTAATAATATTTCATATTATAAAAATACAATGTGAATAAATTATAAAAATAGAAAATTTTTACGTGAGAAATAAATTTCTAATGGTTTAATTTCTAATAAAAATATTTATTATTTAAAACAGTTCTAATTAACGGCGAAGGGTTACAATATTAAGCAACGAGAAAGATTTTTCCTTTCCATCCTTTCCATTCTAGATTTTTTTTATACAAGTAAAATTTAATAAAAATCATTATATTCTTTTTTTCACAATAAAAAAAATTACTGTTGATTTCGAGTCCTAAGTTTACTAGAAAATATATATGTTGTTTCGAAAACCTATTCTTAGTTCTATTCAATAAAAAAAAAAAATAATGATAATAATAATAAATTAAATATAACTAAAAAAAAACAAATCCTTCGATGTTCAATTTTTTTTTTACCTGTTATTTTTTTTTGTTTATAAAATTTAAGCGTTCTTTCATTGGATGAGCGAGCAAAAGATTTCAGACATCATTGAAATATGAATGATTTTTTGCTTCGAAAGCTAATTTACAAGAAAACAATCGAACAACAATTTGAACTTAGCTATCTAATATTTCTTGAATTAAAAATCACTTGAAAAACAAGCCCTGTTCTAAAAGTAAGTTGATATAATTTATAACTTTGCTTTGTGAAACAATTATCAAAGTTCCCATTCTATTTCATAATATAATTAGTAGATTTATAAGAAAAAGAAAAAAGAAAAGTTTACAGATATAAATATTTTTTAAATAATTACCACTTCATTTTCTTTAATTTGGGCATGTCATTATATTTGTATTTTCTCCTTTAACTTGTAAATAGTACCATATCGGTTTTTAAGTTTTTTACATAAAATAATACTACACCTAATTAAGTAACTGATATAACTGCAGTTAATTGTGGTCAATGGTGATGATGATGGTGTGAAATTTGTAATTCAAAATAATTTTTTGTATCTATTCTTAATCCTGAAAATGTTAAAAGTTATTCGTAATTTAATAAAAAAAAAAAAGTAAAATTCAAATACAAGATTCATCAATTTCTATATAGTCATTCTTTTATCATCACACTTTCTTATAATCGTATTTTATAATCTAACACTATCCTTTTAGGGTTCATTATCTATGTAGATAATTTATTATCATCAATTTTAAATTCTGAAATTGGATTTAGACATATTTAAACATTATAAGTTACAATGTAAATTAAAAATAAGAACATACTTTTTAAAAATAATAATAATATGATTTTTTCATGTTTTAAAAAGTCAATTGTTGAAAATTAATCAAAAAAGGTTTCTCTATAAATCCATAAATTCCCAATTTGAAATCCATTGTTTTAGAAAATGCAATAATTAACTAAATAATATTAGAAAATTCTTAATTGTGTTTCGATAGGTTTCGATGGGTCTCGAAAGTTTTGACGGGTTCGATGAATCTCGAAGTTTCGACGGTTTTGCGAATTCTTAAAAAGGACATAAATATATGATCATGTGATGATGGCCAAGATCGAATCAATACTATCTCACATAGACAAATGCATAGATCATTATATGGGATGGGATGATTGCTCCGAGAATAAAATTAAGACCTCATCACATTTTAATCTATCAAAAATTATAATTTAGTTAAAAATTCCAAATAATTAAAAATTTTTTTAATGCTTAACATGGGGCTAGCCGCAATATAAAATGAGTATCATGTTTATTTTTTTTTTTAAAAAAAAATAAATAAAATTAAAAATATTCCTTACAATCAATATTTCTAATACTAAATATTTCTTAAAGATTAAAAATTCTCACATATGTAACATTATTATTTTAAATATTTATCCAATTTCTGGTCCATTTATCAAAAACCAATATCAACTTAGTGAAGACATATCATTATTTTGTAGAGAAT